GTTTTAACCGTGACTCGACGTCCTCGTCATCCTAAAAACAAGTTAAAACATATTAAACATCTGAAGGAAACATGACTCTACGTCCTCGTCTTCCTGAAAACCGTGTTTCCTTTAATTAATGCGTACTGACAAACAGTCTATTTCAAACCATTTATTTATTATTAACATACAGCACAAACGGAACCGAACCACTAAGAAACGAATATCCTATGAAGATTAACACTTTTTCTACTATGAGCATAGCCACCGATCTGGGAAGATCATTATAGTTTTAATAAACACCTGAACACCTCTTTCTGAAACACCATCCCTAGTCACGTGACTGTTAATATTCTTACAATGATAGCTTCAATGAAATGACAATAATAGAAACTAGTTGAAGAGAAAATATATGACAGCAATTTCAGTAACTGAGCAAGTGAAAACTAAATATGATGAGAAACAACCCCCACCCACCCCCACAGCACAGAAAACCAAATTACCACAGAGTGCGATTAGAAAAATGTTATTAAACATGGCCCAAAATTATTCTTATACAAATAGAATGAGTCCCTCTTTTATAATTTGGTTAGAGAAAGACTAAAACCTCACATAACTAAACAAAGAAGTCATTCAACCACTCGCGAAACGGGTTGTTTCCTGCAACTGAAGAAGAGAAAGATGTGACATGATTAGTTTAAAAATACACTCGGTTTCTCATCAAATTCTTACTTTAGTCTTGCTTAACGTCGGTTACTAAAAATAGTTTGATAGCCGTATCACGCGATTTTTTAAAGCTCCAGTGTCCCGAAAGTGTTTATGTTCTCAAACGATAGATGGCTGTCACTTACCATCGTCACAGCTTTCTCTTCTTCAGTTGCAGTAATAACTACTAAATAAACACAGTCTTATACGATCCACGAAAACGTACTCTAGCACATTTCTCGACTATTGGCGACAAATTCTTAGTTATAACCGCAAAGGAAGCACCACAAGAGTAAAGGCAGTGTTGGCAGGTGGCGCTGCACACAGAGATATGCCAAATTGATGGTTTACTAGAAACAAGTATAGACAAAATAAGGAAGTATTTTTTGGTTACACATTCCGAACACACACACGAAATCTATCCAAAAAGGAACGAATCTTGAAAGTACATTTATATATATTTTTTTTTTTAACATCATTAGATCCCTAAACTTATAAAGTCACAAAATCCTCCAACAGAGGGAGCTTACATGTGTTGTTAAGTATTTACATCCTTTACGGCAAGGTGTATAAACATGTATACACAAAAACTAGAAATGACCCTTTACAACAGCAGTACAATAACAAATAAGAACTCTAACGTTCTGGCTATTGTTCGTATAAAGTTACAGTTCCACTCAAGCACAGGCATACTAATACAACTAATGTTCTTTCAAATCGCAAACATTTTATATTTAAAATGGTCTCGTTTTACCACAAGCTTTACATTAAACCTACAAGGGAAACTCTACTTTAACAACTAGTTAGCCAGAAAGAGGGTTTAATCTAACAACAGTAAACAGATGTAAAGCGCTGCTTGAATAAATAGAATATAATTAAATAGATTTAAATACATTGATTTACAAAACGTGTCACTAGAGGACGCTACCGTGTTGACTGCAAAATCTGATAACACTAGTCGAAATCATCGAATATTAAGTCCAAAGAGGTAACAAACAGTTTGTGGCTGCTCTTAAAGGACATAAAATAAATCTATTGTTTCTACTATGATATAACAATACTCTTGAGTTTAGGTAGGGTTGATAAATAAGGAGAGCACGTTTCTTCCTCATCTTCTTTTTAGATAAACCTTTTTTAACAACTAACGCAACAGATGTATTGTAAACTTAATATGTAATGACAATAGTGATTATTATAAGTTAGGTTGAAAATTCGTCAAATCATCACTAATTCAAAACCGATAGGATTAGGTTTTGTTCTATTACCACAAATTCAACTGAAAACCGTATCATGTATTGTAATATCACCACTAATTCAAAATTGTTACATTTATTTAAATCACCACTAATTAAAAACCGTTACATTTGAATATTTTAATAACACCACTAATTCAAAACCATTACATTTAAACTTGTTATAACACCATTGATTCAAAATCGTTATATTTAATTTCTTTCAATCACCACTAAGTCAAAACCGTTATATTTAAACTTTTTATAACACCACTAATTAAAAACCGTTGCGTACATGTTTTATTATTTCTTGCTACTTCAAAACCGTTAGTTTGGGTGTTGAATGGTATCGTTAATTAAAACAACTTAAATTAAGGTTTTATAATACTACTGTAATTAAAAGAAAAACATTGAATTTTGATGTTTTACTATCACATGATAGATATATTACATTTAGATATTCTTATATTACTAAGAGTATTTCAAATTCAACTTGTCGTCTGTATTTTCTGGCGCTAGATAATTAAGGAAACAACTAAAGTTTGGAAATAAAGAATTAATCTTTACTATCTATTGAACTTAAACAAAGAAAAACATAAGCTAAATTAGCATAACTAATTTATAAATAAAAGGCTTAGCAAAGAAACAGAATATATAAAAAAGTTCGTACTATCATGTACTGACGATGTAGTCAGATGACGTAGCCTCGTGTATGAACGTCTCTAAGACATTATAAAGAGATAGAAACATACAAACACGAAAAACATTGGAACTAAAACTAATATTATATTCTTTAAAAAAAGAACAAGATTTCGCATTTTCAAGAAATGACTGGATTCCACACTTACACCTAAAGCTTACCAACATGGCGTTCATAAAATCTATTATTTACGTACCTCGCCCTCTAGAAAAAGATGTATTACTATAAGAATAACAAATTATATTTTTAAAGTAAAGAATTTGTCATACTAGAATATAAGCTCATATTTTAGAGGCTATTGCCTGAGTACTTGTTCTATATTCTGATTACTTTTGAAAGGTAGAAAAAAAACTTTACAAAATTGCATAGAAACTATTTTAAATCTTAATTTTTCTGACTGAGCTTGTTTAATTATTTTCATCTTTGGTATTTTCAATATGCAAAAACCACCTTACGCTAGTGATAATAATAGTAAAAGTATTATCGTGTAAAGGTTAACCTAGTAATCTTTGGTCCATTGATAAAGCGAGGCAACTTGAGATACCAAAAGCGGTAAATTCTTAAGGGTTATGCGAGGTAGGTTTGTACAATTTCTAACAATTACTTAATTTCTTTTGTCACTAAAAGTATTAAATTTGAAAAATCATTACCACGAAATGTATCCTTTACTCCGCACGTGCTTATAACTTATACAGATATTACAGCATATGTTTAAAGGTTTCATTTGTTTTATAAAATTTTAAAAAATTAGACAACTTTCAAATAAACATACTTGGAATTTAATGGCATAGTTGTTATGAAATCTAAAAGTATCAATCATTAATTTTGAGAAACTGATAACAATTGCGATAAAGAAATTTGTAAACCCTGAAATCAGCTTACACGTGCTAGGCTTAAGGATTATTACCAGAAAGAATTTAAATATATTATATATCACTTATACACGATACTCCCATTGATTACTGACCATTTAAACAAGCTAATCCATTGATTATTAACCATTTAAACAAGCTAATCCATTGATTATTGACCATTTAAACAAGCCAATCCATTGATTATTGACCATTTAAACAAGGTACCTCCACTGAATACTGACTATTTAAACAAGAGATCCCCACTGATTATCGACTATTTAAACAAGATACCAAAACTGATTACTGATAATTTAAAAAATACCTCAAATAGTCAAACATTAAAAAATTAACCTAACTGAATTATGGTCTAACCATAACCCAAAATTGATTAGTATGTATTTAAACAGATTACTCCAACTTACTACCGATCATTTAAACAAATTACTTTAACTGATTACTGATCATCTAAACATATTACTCCAACTTACTACCGATCATTTAAACAAATTACTTTAAATTGTTAATGATAATTTAAACAAACTATTCCAACTGATTACTGATCGTTTAAATAAGATACTAAAACTGGTTACTGATCAAATCTACCCAATCAATTACCGATCTTTACACATATTACTACATTGTCAAAACGTGTTCATTGTTGTTAGACTTCATAACTTTCTGTACGTTTTTTCGCGCTCAGTTCTAGCCTGCTAAAGGCTACATTAAGATATTATTATTTCACAAGCTTCACCAAAGAAACTAACATGTTCTTCCTTCAAAGTTCATTTTAACACAAAGTAGTAGGCCGGCAAAAGGTTTCTTATTTACGTTTTGAGAAATGTTCTTGAAGTTCACCACAAAAAATCAACATTATCTCTGCATATAAAGGTCCACAAAATACTTTTTGCAGAAAATTTCTTGGATTGGTTTCTAAATATAAAAATTCGAACATGTCACATTTCATGTCCCAACTTATTACATGATAAAGAAAGGCCGACAATAGTTATAAAAGTAGACTATTTGCTGCAAGTACCACGAGGAAGCACAAACCAGCGAATTTACTCGAGTGAAAAAATTTATTCGCAAAAAGCACATTCTTGCCAAAACGTGTCCATTTCACACTGTTCGCAAATTCCTCTGTTTTGTCACGTGACCTGAAAAGTGTCAAAAACTCTTTATACAAACAAAATCCACGTGATCCTTTAAAATTCAGCTTAAAATAGATTTTAGATTTTAATCAACCAACTAGTTAGTATATATTTTACCAGACTCTTGATGATTTTGGTAGAGTTAGGTCAACTTGCTAATTGGTATGCAATTTACGAGACGATTGACATTCTGGGTAAATTTTGGGTTTACAAGTTGCTAGTTTTAACATTACTTCTATATTCGTATGAAAAGTGATACTATGGTAACGTGAAAATACACAAAACCTTTCACCATACATAGTATTAAGCACCACTGAAACAAATAATGATAAAGTTACTTATAAATACTTCACTCAAATCAGAGGAAATACATCTACAAAACATCGTAAACTGTTTCTTTCTTAGGCTTAAGACTAACGTTGGAGTGCAGTAGTGACCACCACTTTTCAAATACATCAGTTACATCTTACCTTAAAGTGGACCTCACGTGATCTTTCCAAACTGACCAGAAGTCGTTTTCCACCAACTCTGCTTCGTTGTGGTTTCTGTCAAAAATGTTATTATGAAGAAAACAAAGGGAAGGAAGGGGGTACATTCAAGGAGGGTAAACTTGATAAGAGAAAGCAAGAAGGCAGTGACATAAATGTACTTCGTGTGTTTCAACAGTCAACAAATAAACAATAATTTTTAAACAAGAAACTGAAGGCACGTTACTGTTTGTTTTTGTTTTTTAATTATTGCAATTTGAATAAATTGAAATTCACCAACTCTACGGAAGATGATTGTTTGATAATGAAATCATGAGCTAATATTTACTGTCTTCAAACCAAACAAAACCAAAACGTAAGCAGTGCAAAAAATTGCTTAAAAGAAACTAGAAAAAAAACTAGCAGGTCCGGACTGCTGTTTTTCAATTGCAAATATATATATATAGTGATTGGTGTATATTATATTGTGTAGAAAATTGATTGGCGCATTTCATACAAAGAAGGAAAGTGATTGGTGCATATTATATTATGTAGGAAGAGGATTGGTGGATTTCATACAAGGAAGGAAAGTGATTGGTGTATATCATATTATGTAGGAAGAGGATTGGTGGATTTCATACAAGGAAGGAAAGTGATTGGTATATATTATATTATGTAGGAAGAGGATTGGTGGATTTCATACAAGGAAGGAAAGTGATTGGTGTATATCATATTATGTAGGAAGAGGATTGTGGATTTCATACAAGGAAGGAAAGTGATTGGTGCATATTATATTATGTAGGAAGAGGATTAGTGGATTTCATACAAGGAAGGAAAGGGATTGAAAGAAAATAAGAAAAGAATAATTAGTTAGGTACCTTTGGAAGTTAAATAATAATCATAAGTTAATGGTTATGAAATAAATTCAAACTTACATTATCAAACTCGTTGTAAATAATATTTTGTCTTATGAAAGACATGAATCTAACTAACTTCTCGTGTAATAATTATATATTTTGATTTTACCCTCCAGAGTATCACGATAATTAAGTGGTGATCGGGACCAAAAATTGATAGTCAATAATAAAATGTATTCGCTACCTGAACATCAACTTGGTTTATACAACTGGTTTTCAGCCAAATCAAAAATTTATTATAACATCATATCGTTTTGATATTTTCAGAAAAAGAAAATAAGACATGATATACATTTCATAGAGACGGATCTTTTTTTTTATAAATAATCTAAATAATTACATCTTCCTCATCAAAGGGCTAGCTTTTTAATCCTCTCAGCTCAGACAGCTAGAAAAAAACTTACTAACAAACAACGAACAGAGGATTAGCTTCGAATCATATTTGCTCAAACAGCTAAAGCACAGCTTACTAATAGAACCAATTAATAAATGAATACCTTTCAAGCCCTTCTTGGGGCTAAGAGCACAAAGTTCTGACAAACAACAAACAGGGGAACAGAGTTAGATGTCTCACAATGTGCTATTTGTTAACAGAGCTAGATGTCTCACAATGTTCTATTTTTTAACAGAGCTAGATGTCTCACAATGTTCTATTTTTAACAGAGCTAGATGTTTCACAATGTTCTATTTTTTAACAGAGCTAGATGTTTCACAATGTTCTATTTTTAACAGAGCTAGATGTTTCACAATGTTCTATTTTTTAACAGAGCTAGATGTCTCACAATGTTCTATTTTTTAACAGAGCTAGATGTCT